ACACCTGCAGTGGTCACCTGAGTCACTGCCCTTCCCCTCCCGCCCTCTCTGTCTCCCCCCAGGCCCCTGGGAGAGGTGAGCACCCAGCCTGCAGCTGTGGTGAGCTGGGGCCCCAGGCGCCTTCCCTAAGGCCTGTGGAAAAATCACTTGAGCAGCTTCAGCTCAGTGCCCTGTGGCTGGGACTGCCCTTCCTCCCTCTGGCTGTTTGACTCTGGGCCTGGTTCTGACATGGTTTTCCAGCTCCGGACTCAGTACCGTTGTGGATATAGAAGAGCAGGCGGTGGTGAGGTCTCCACACACCCTTCGTTGCTGAGCATTTTGCTCTTATACTTCCCTGCAGCATGTACGGAGAGCAAGCCAGTACCGCAGCTGCAGGGAGCGGCATGACCGAGCCATCTGGAGAGCAAGCCGCAGCTGCAGGGAGCGGCATGACCGAGCCATCGTCCGCATTTAGCAGCTTCAGTACCTGGCGCTCGGTTATCGGCAGACAGAGCAGCACGTGAGAGCTTCCCAGCTCAAAGGCAAAGGGCACAAGCACACTGAAATTTTGCTCTTAGGTTTACCACAGTGAAAAAGGGGTTAGCTACTGTACACCTTCGTGCATCCCACTTACAGCAGGTTTCACCATCCCTTTGCCTAAACCTTTCCGTTCCACAAATATTTCCCTCGCAAGGATGCAGTGAACTTTAGTTTGCTCATATTTGCTACAGCTATCAAGCTGAACATATACGGAATCAAATACCCTTCCCCACTGGCTGTCTGTTTCTTGTTTTTTTCTTTTACACACTAATGGTGGTTTAGGAACAGGTTCTCTTCTGCAAGAGATTTCACGTTGTTGTGACTCCTTCAACTTTGGTACAAGTCAGCAGAGTCAGCAGCGTAGTGTACTGGAAGGGAAGTATATGACTTGTTCTACTGTATACAGTGTCTTTGCAAAGAAAAAAAATTTGCAAAATTGGCAGTCTCATACATTTCCTCCCATTTTCTTGGTTGCTATAGTTTGGGAAAAGGCAGATATTTATTATTTTCTAATTCTAGGTATTTTTCCCTTACAAAGGTGGCCCTGGCTCTGGCAAAGGTAGCCAATGCGAACAGTTAGTCAAGAAATACGGATTTACTCACCTGTCCACTGGTGACCTTCTCCAGAATGAGTTATCATCATTATCAGAGAGAAGTAAATTGATCAAAGACATTATGGAATGTGGTGAACCTGTGCCTGGCGTAAGTTTTATTTGGTGTCCTAATGGTTAAACAGAGACAGTGGTAGGTATTGTCTAAAAGGGTGGAAATAAGAGGCTAGAGCTGATGATTCCCATTTAAGTAAAAACAATCTGCAACTTGAGGGAGAAGTTTCCTCATTGCCAGATCTGTGGCCACTTCTTTCCCCTTTGTATGCCAGTATTTCTTTACATTTCAGACTCACATAGGCAACAAATTAGTCATTAAATACAGTGAGATGCTGCACTATGCATTGCAAAATGTCAGAATAAGTACAGGAAACAGAAACTTTATGTCCATTTTGTAGCTTCACATTTTGGATTCAGCGCTGGTCCTCCTGGCAGCTATTCTAATTTACAGTATCTGCAGCAGTTCCCTGCAGAGCTGGCTGACATCCCAGAGTAGCTGGACTGCAGTTTAATGAAGACTATGAAGGCAGAGTGTGTTGTTTTCAGCTGGGCTTGACTTTTACATAGCAGGTCCGCAGCCCCAACTCTTGGTGGGTCTTCAGCAAGTGCAGCTAGATTGTAGGATGCCTTTGTTAATGAAAGATACCGGGAAGTGCTGCTCAGGGGAAACTAAAAGCAGTGCTGAGGCTTGATTTTGATTGCTTTGCTCTTTGGTGTGTTTGGTCAGATGGGTCTCATCACTTCCCATGTAATATAGTGATATCAATGACGTAGCAAAATGCAATCAGATTGGAAAATGCTGCAGCAGTACTCCAAAGCTTCACAGGTATTAACGTTAATTTTGAAACTATAAAATATTCCCAGCTATCTAGAGGACACTTTGGGAGCTCTTGGATGGGTTGCAACTCTAGATTTGTGTAGCATAGCTGGTCCTGAGAGAAAAAAAGGTAGGGTGCCCTGCTACCTGCAGGACAAGAAAAACACCTGCATTCACAGGACCTGCTTTTAGCAAAACAAGGCAGTTCTCAAGGGCGTAGGACTAAAGTCGGTGTAACAAACAAATGAATCAATCTTTCTTATTAATTAACCAAATAACTCCCTTTCTTTCCAATGCAGGGTATCATCCTAGAGCTACTGAAGGAAGCTATGGTTTCCAAGTTAGGGGACACAAAAGGATTCCTGATTGATGGGTATCCCCGGGAGCTGAAAGAAGCAGAAGAGTTTGAGAGCAAGGTGACTATATAATTGGAATGCTGCTGTAACTCCTATTAAGATATGACTGTACTTCTGATGCTGCTTGAGTCCCCGTCTTTAGCTGATTGCGACAAGGACATGCAAAGAGCCAATCCAACAGCATTGTGCTGCTGATCACTGAAAACTTTGTCACCCCATCAATACAGCGACTCCAGCTTTTGCCCTCACCTACACAGACTTTTGTAATAGCAGGAGAAGTAAAGGCTGATTTTACCCAAATTTAGTATAAACCAGAACCAATTCACATTTAGTGGAAAGCACCATTTTTAGAATCAGTGTTCTAATTCTAGTGGATGGCTGCTACACTTCTCATCAAGCCCTGTTCAATGTAGGTTCCTGAAAGCATGTATCTTCACAATTAATATCTCTTATCATCGAGCTGGCTCTGCTAAAGCTTGCTGACACTTTGAAACAGCAAAACACAGATTAAATTTTTGTGAACAGGTGGCATAGCCGTAAAAAGAGCGTTTTGCAAGTGACTGCGTGGCGGTTCAGAGCGTTATCAATTTCCTCAGTATGTGCTAAGACCTACTGAGAAGTCTCAGCTGTACATTTCTCAATCTGCAGAAAATAGTCTATAAAAGCCCTATGAATGAATTTGCTAGGGTTTAGGAGAAAAGAAGTGGTGAACTAGGGCAAATAGTTAAGTATATATTCTGTCATATTACACTCCACAAATGTCCTATACAAGCTTGGAAGGTAATAAAACTTGAGTGAATCATGTTTTCTCCCTGAACTTTTAGCTGCTTTATTTGGTTGATTACCATAAAAGCTTAGCAAGATATAAGCATCATGAAGCTGGACAAAATAACGGGCAATAGGGTTTGCTATAGAAGCCATTCACAGAAATGTTGATCTCTTAGTTTCTTTACTAAAATGCCACAGACTGTTAAAAAGACATTGGAGCTTTCTTTCCTTTTGTGTAGAAGGAGGAACTATTTCAGCAGTGCTGCTATTTTGTCAGGCATAAGTGTCATGTCCTGGGAACACTGGTATATGCTATAAAGTAGGATTTAAGAGATTGGAGTGTCCTGGACTGAGGCATCGCCAGGCAAACAAGTCTGGATGCATCCAGCAAAAGCAGAGCCCCTTTCAGTTCCCGTAGACACTGTATCAGCAAAAGATCCTGTAGTCCTGAGCTGCCTTTGACATTTGGATTAAAATACAAGGACCTCAAGTGATAATTCTGAAGGTGCTAAGTCATCCCTGTTGTGTCCATGTATCCACTAAAGTTTTCACAGGGTGAACTTGGCTGGCTGTAAGCTGCTCAGCAAGTCTGTGATTTTGTTTTTTTAAATGAGTCATTATTGAGATAATGCTTTGCAGTTCTTTCCAAAGGGTGATGAGAAGTTCTTCCTACATTATAATTGAGTGAAAAGAGGTGGACATCAGCTTTATTAATTAATGACAGCAAAGTGCAAATGAATAATGCTACATATGTACATGGTGTGTAAAAAGCATTATAACTGTTAACAAATAGCTGTTCTATTCAGAAGACATCGGGAGTAGTGCTTATACTTAAAAGCTTGACAGCCCTAAATAGAATTAGCTGTGGAGAAACAGCTTATTCTCCAGCCAGGTTTGCCCAATTCCTTTCTATGATATAATTGTACTTTTACCTAGCCATAATTCTAGGGGAGCACATGTCTCTGTTCCCTCCTCGGTCTTTCTTCTAGGTGAGAAGTAGAAAAAAATATTAAATTATAAGTTCCACATCACCAGGTGGAAGATACCTGATATGACAGAGTAAAGACCCAATACATTAGACTTGTTT